CCAATCTGGCGATCGCGGCCGTCGTCGGTGAAGGGGAGTCTAATCGCGCGACGACGCGTAGTGTCAATCCGGAGTGGTGAACGACGACGTCAACGGCCAATCTGCGACCGACAGTGTCGGTCAATGGGGGAACAAAGTGCGTCCCGGTGTGTCCGGGCATCGCTTGATGCCAGGGCCTTGGCGCCATTGTGCTCCCCTTTAGACCAGCGTACACATGCACGCTAGCGTGCGCATGTGTGCGTATGTTGCGTCGCCACGTGCCGCCGATCTGCGTGCCGGCTCCTGGTACCGATCCCGGACCAAGCCCAATGTGCACTTGGACCACGACGCCATACATCGCCTCAATTGGACTTGATGAGATGTTTTGTTCGTGAGCTTTTCTCCCGCGGGGATTTCACGCGCAATAACTAGGTCACTCTTAGGCCGCTGGAGATAATCGAGAACGCGACGACTGCGAATTCGGTCATATTACCCGTCTGATACTTTATTTCGACGAGAATTCGCAGGAATTCGAACATTTTCCATGAGCATTTTGTTCCCGCAAAGAGATAAGCTTGAACGCGAAATAAAATATTGTGCAGAAAAATTTTGAGAAGAAAAGAATAGAAGGTACTTGATACCAAAAATAATGGCAAAATAAAGAAAAAAATAGCAAAGGAAAATTGTTCAAGTGGCGATATTTACCGATGTTTCAATATTATTATAATTTAACTGTTAGTTTTATAGCAAAAAAATTTTTTTTTTAACCTTTCTTGATTTTTAAATTTTTCTTGCGCTGCTTTTGTTTCTTCAAACCTTTGTATCCAAATTTTTAATTCATAAAAATTCGGAAAAGAATGTATTGTGCCAATTTTATTCTGGATGCTGCGTTATCACGCGGGATTTCGTTCCACGAATCACGACAGCAAAGAGAAGGCTATAAGGCACGCTAGAAAGATTCTGATATCGGCCTAATCGTTGAATTATAGTAGGAGCGCATAAGGATAAGGTGCGGAACGAACGATTGCGAACGACTCGGCGAAGCTGACGGACAAAGAGCATAAGTGGGGATTTGCGCGACTGTTTCTCGACCGACATCCGCAAGGTAGAACAAGCTAATTGCAGTTGTACCTGCGTCACCTGTGCGCGGTCGCGGTTGCGAATTCGTTTCCGCGTCGCGAGCGTACTCGCTCTTCTTCGGAGTGCCGTTATTTTTTATTTCACGGATCTTCGTCGTTTTTCTTGAAAATAACCGCGTTATTTCTTCAAGTTTGAACAATGCGGCGAGGATCCGTCAGCAGTTGGCAGTCCTATGGACAGCGAAATTGTAAGTGATTACAATTACTTTTGTCTGTTGATGTATTAGTAACTCTAGATGCGCGATGAAAGAATGGAACTATTTAAGACACGTTTTTATTAAAAACCAAAATATTTTTTTTGTATATAACAATTTAAAAAATTATTCTTTAACTTAAAAGTCTTATTAAAGGCTTAAAAAATTGTCAAGCTGAATGCCAAATGTAAAAAAATTATAGAAGAATTTGAATGATGTTTCTAGACATTTTCGGAAAATATTTCTGCTAAAAATGTTAGTATTTTCTTGAATTAATCGTTCTTATCAAAAACTTATGCGCGTGTTAAGCTCCCGTTGGCTTTTATCATTTTGTTGATAAATACGGTTATTCCGATTGCTTTTCCATTGCGGAATTAGTTATATTTATTTTAATTAGAGTTATTTGCATGCGGTATCTTATTTTAGATATGCCAAAAAATTTGTGTTATTAAATCTGTTTTTATTCTATATTTTTATTCAAAAGTAGCTTTGAAGAATAATATTCAAATTGCTTTATTCAGATTTGTTCGCTTCATCATCGATATGCAAATCTCAAATTGCCTATATTGAAGCTTTCATCAATTGCTTTAGATCGTCGCGTCGAACTATTGGTCGATCGCCGACTTTTTATGGTAGTTATAATCACTTTTCCTTTTATAAAGGTGTTCCTGTTTAGCGTGCGAAAATTTGTGAGCGCAATTCTCGATCTTTTTGCTACGTGCAACGCAAGAATTTAATTTTTTAAGCGATGTATTTTACACAAACAAAAATATTGTAGCCTTTTATTTCAATTATTTGATTGAATCAATGACAATTTCAAAGTTGGATTTGTTTATTGAAAATTTTGCATATACTGTACACAATTAATATTCAATATATAGTAGATAAACTAAATAACTTGATAGATCGTGTTAAATAAGCTTGTAGACATCACGTACCAAATTATTGTACAAACAAAAAGACTATCTTAAAGAAAGCATAATTTTTAAAAATATGCATATGCACGCGTGTCAAAGTTGTATCACACCAGTTTCAAGTACTTTAAAGGAATTTCCTGGCGTTTTAATTATGCTCTTACCGATGCTATCTGTTCGCTATCTGTTATGTACGTTGCAACTTGGAAATTGCCTTGAAACACTCGTGATATTTTCGTTGTTTGTGCATCGTTACATGGTATTTTGCAAATAGTTCTTATAAGTAGTGTACAAAAAATACGTTTAATTACATTAAACATTAAGTTAAAGTATAAATTTGCGTATAATATAACTTAAAAATCAAACAAAAGTATGATAAAGTATGATTTGAGTTATTTCCATATAATATTAAAATTTTCTGATTTAATCTTTAGATTTTAATGACAAATAATTTGATAATTAAAAAAATCAATGATTAAACAATTAAAATTAGTTCATAAAATATCTCTCATTTAATTTCAATAATGACTAAGAAAAATTAGTTGGCTTTAAACTCTTCTCTTCATACGTCCTTTTCCTTTAAAAATAGCATTAAGATATTGCTGTCTGTTTGTGCGACAGTCACGTTTCATGTGATATAATAATAAGGAGAATAATTTTATCGTCGTGAAAACTACGATGAGACATAATAATAGAATCCCTGAAATAACAAACGAGAATGTGAATTTTATCAGTTATAGTACATCTGCGGACAGTTATAATGCCCAATGTCAAGTAGAAAGACGAGACCTAACGTAGCGTCTTCCGGCAAGCTTTATTCGTTCCAAACGCATACTTCGATCTAAATTTGCAAGATGCATAATATAATTTCACCTTCTCAAGCTTATCTATAATCATTATCTTTAATTGTATCAATACAAGTAATATCTCAGCGTATCTTTCAAATTTTGGTTTCACGCGGCGGTGCATATTTATTTCTTACAACCGATATATTATAATTGAAATTTATATTGCAATAAAAAACAATATAATCAATTTTATCTATGATTGCGTGCGGTGTGATTAATGCGTTGTAGTAAGTACATTTCCGTACAGTACAAATATTCCGCGCTGAAAGTTCAGCCGCAGAGAACGCCGCCGAGTAATGTCGCGTGAACAGCACCGATACGAGCGTTATCGGCACAAGCAGCACGACAACGATTATGTGAATGCTGTAGCTGATACGTGGTCAGCGAGGTGTACGAACAGGACCTTGAGGCCGTATCTTGCCGCGCTTACCAGCGTGCTCCGCGCGCGGGTCTATCGCGGATTTCTCGCATCACGGGCAACCAATTTCGATGACATCATCTGCGCGTATTTCTAACGCTGAACTACCAACGCGAAATTCGTCACGCGATTCGACGATGATGCTGTCGATGGATGCGGTCACGGATGATCAGGATTCTTTTGAAAACACACGAGAAATTGGCACGAGTCTTGAGTTATGACACGCAAATTGTTGGTGCTGTTTACGGGTTTACAGCTTCCCTATAATTTTCATGATCTGCATGATTGTTCTGTGATTCAAGCGGCTATTAACTGCAGAAATTGCTGGTATTCAACGCAGCAACTTATCGGGTTTCTGAAAAATATGTACTTATTGACAGACATTGAGATAAATTCAGTTTGCGAGAAAAAAAATTGGTTACTTTCAAGATTAAATTAATTTTAAAGGACTTTTAGTTCTATAAAATATGTTTTTGTGTTTCTTTTTATTATATTTCTACGAAACTATTTATTATGTTTCTACGAAACAGCAGCTACGAAAAGAAACGAGAAAAGTTTTAGTTTACACGTAAATCTTTTAAATTTCTTTAATTTTTATAACAAAAACAAAATTGTCTTACCAATCTAGAAAGTTCCGGCTTTATCGCATGTTTAATACTTTCAGCCGATTGCATGATGCAAACATATTCCGGTAATACCGCTTTGTCTCCGCCTGCCGAGGAAATTATCCATCTTCGAAGAGGTGGTTGGTTTTTAACGTACAGAAAAATACTTTCCTTCATTGTCCTCATCGTCATCATCGTCATCATCGCTGGTATTATTGGCTGGAACATCGGCACGATGCCTAAAACGAGAGTGAGTTAATTATCACTACGGAATACGTTGTACATTATAAATGCAGTGATGTTTTGCGTTTAACAATTTCAATATGTTCAATATTTTCAATATATTCAATATAAACAAATATATCCTTTATATGTGCTGCTGATTATGAAAGTGGACTAAAAATTTTGATGATTTTTTTATTTTGAAATATTTCGATTTTATAGATCAAAAATAAGTGATAAAATCAATTAAAAAAATTTTTTTAATTTTAGCCCACTTACATATACGTGCCGGTAAAATAATGGTGCATAAAATATATTTTAACGGATAACAATCGTTTTTCAAGCTTGCTACATTTTCTGTTAATTAGACATACGATCCATTAGCTCTCATCGAAGATGAGACAGAAGAAGGCGACATCGTTGCGACTTCAATATCGCCTTTCGTTTATCCCCAAAGATATCGTCTCGAGCTGACGCCGTTACGCGGTGTTAATGCGACGACGAAGCTGAAAGGGCGAGTCGTCATCGAATTCCGAGTCGATGGCACGCCGTCCTTAAGCAAACTGACTTTTAAT